AAATACTTAAGTATAGTATAAGTACCTCAACATAAATTAAATGTACTTACAGTTACCTTTAAGTTCATTTCACAAGTCTAGAAAACAGTGATCTGCTCTGTATTCAGTAGCCAGGATGTTCTCAGTTATGTAGTTCAAACAGTATTAAATCCCATTTAAAATTTGTGGAAGAATGTTTCAAATTTTCCTTGGCATTGTTTACACTTCTGCGGTTTATGTTTACAGATGAGATCTTCACAAAATCGGTCTGTGTGTTTACTGCTCGGCTTACTGTTCATGTTTACTCATTTTCACACATGCGCTAAATATGTTTTATGGCACTATTTTCAGCCTTGAGTCAGTCATTTGTGATGTTTTACATTTTCTGTGTTAAAAGACGTTCATCCCATCCTGCCACTCTCGGGCTGGCTATTTCTGTTTGTGTTTAAATACAACTTTCTTTGTATTTGAGTTACATCTCAGTGATGGGGCAGGATACATACTTGGAGAGGAGCACATGTTGAAGGGAGCATGAAGAGGCAAGGAAACAGGAAGATTAGAGTAATTTGTGGAGAGACAGAAAAAGGACTACTGAAGCTGCAGGAAAAGTTGGAATAAATCCAGAGGAAATAAACAAAAGGAAAATGGAGGCATGATTGGGTAAATTAAAGAGTGAAAGGATAAATAACAAATCAAATTTACCGGGTATCCATCCCGTCCAGCCTTGCCCTGGTGAGGTTAGAGATTAAAGCATGAAGCATTGAGACAGGTTAGACAGCTGCACACACCACCCTGTATACTGTATACATGTAACACCTGGTACACTTCACTATAAAGGTAAGGCAAATTGCCATTGTGTAGATTTTTAAAGCTTCCAGCCGATAAACTTGACTCAGACAAATTGTACTGACAGAGTGTTACTTTGTGGAGTAGGAAGTGATTTCACGTTGACCCACCTTTCCTCGATTTTATGGGCAAAAGGGTACACATTGGGTGTGGTCTCAGGGTAAACCAGCTGCATAGACAATTTTCTCCAATAAAACCATTTCCTGGATTTAAAAAATGTCAGCTTAACACGCCACTCCGATATTTCTGGAATTGCGTCATGGTGTGTAACGGATCGTATAAGCTACACCTCTGCATATCTGATCTGCGCCACATGTGACTAAAACGTTCTGATTAAAAAAATTAAATAACAGACAGGTCACTCTTCTCAGACAGGTCACAACATTTAATTTTAGATTTAAAAAATCCAAACCAGGCGGCAGCAGTAGTGTCCAGTTAGTATTTGTGTTTTTTTATCTGCTGCATGTGTGAGTGTCAGCAGGAGTTATTGTCCCACAGAGGAAAATAACTCACTGCTAATAAGTCACTGCTCCCTGACCATCACCCACACACACACTTTCAGAGATACTAGCTCACACACACACAGCTCTCTAGGTGGTCCATTTACTGCCACACTCTGTGGATGCACATGTGTGAGTGAGTCTGTGACAGTTTGTGTGTCTGTGTGTTCTTGTTTTACAGGTGAGAGAGAAATCCATAGTTTGTGTAGTGAAGAATATGATATGTACCTGTGTGTAAGAAAAGGCTTCACGTTCAGTAACTTATGAGTGGTTTTCAATACTACCTGGATGAGATGGAATTATACTTACAGGCAGGCCTGCAACAGAAAAAGAGAGAAAGAGAAATTAGACATTAGAAAATAATGGAGCACAACATGTGGGACTTATGGTTACCACTGGTTTGTACAGCAATCAGTTCCTCGGGACAGTGGTGAGCAACAACAAAAAAACTGCGCATGCAATGTGGTTTGTAAAATGATGACTGTAATTAACCAGCTAAATATGGTACAGAACAAGCTCATTAGAGCCGCTGCCAATGGACTTTGTGGTCAACCTGTTATGATAAACAGACTTCTGGATAATGGGCCATGTTTTGCATTAGGATATGAAGTCATGTGAATACTTTGTTCCCTAAGATTTGGGTGCATGAAATGGAGGACATAAAAAGTTGGGGGTGTGCTGGCAAACTGTATGTCCCTTTAAAGCATAACAATAAGATGCCTTCAATATTACTCCAGGCAGTTTTTCAGATCTGATTGAAATTCTCTGATGTTGAGCCTCAGCAGCAATAAGTACATTCTGCTTTTATTACTCAGACTAACCAAAAACAACAGTAATGATCAAAAGGCCCCTCTGATGTTGATGGACTATTCTTATAAAAAGGAAAAACAATCTCTTAAAAGTCCAATGCCAAGGGCAGCAATAAACCACTCAAACCCTTCAAATTGAATTGATAATTTTTCCATTAAAATATACTTTATTAGTGATTGCTTAATATTTATCTGATAACAATTTAAAACTAATCATGATGCTGATTTATGTGATTGTTAACACAATTACAGTGGCACGATTAGGCACTATGCCGCCAGTACTGTCCTGGAACAACAAAGCTCATCAGCATCCATGCAACACTAAACATCTACATAAACTCAACACGATTGAAAACAGACCTCCTTCTGAGAAAGTGGAATATTTGTGGTGTTTTGTCACTATTAAAGCATTCAAAAAGGTATTGCTAATGTGACCAGAATCTTTGTGAGCCTTGAAGATTGTAGTTTGATTCAAGACAAAGGGCATTTTGGGGACATGAGAAGTAGGAAAAGGGATGAAAAACAGAAGGTGGTTGGGGTGAGAAGGTGAAAAGGAAAAAACATGACAGAGGTGTCAGGGTTTATGAGGCATGAAGAGCAAGTCAACCAACTTCAGCTGCGTCTAGACGCTGGGAAAAAGGCCTTCTGGGCCAGACAGTTAGGTAAACAAATGCAGCCTGCTTAGAGAGCAACAGTTAGACCAGCTTTAACGATTGAACTTGAGACAGGTGTGTGCAAGTCTGGAGACTAATGAGAAAGAAAGAGAGAGAAAGGTAAACATACGACAAAAGAAAAGAAGTAAAAGAGCAAACAGAATAAAAAACATTGAGTGTTGTCGAAGGAGAGAAGGCGAAAGATGCTTAACTACTCTGTCTGCCCTCTTTCCTGCTGTCCGGTTTTGTTTCTGTTTCTCTCCATTCGTATTTTTTTTCTTTTTCTGAAAGAACAGGGAAAACCTTTCTTTGATCTTGTAAAAAGCTGGAGTCACTAGCAAGAGGATGGCGCAAAAATCTCTCCATGCCACCTACCTCTACACAATATTACCCAGACTGCAAGATGAGGACGCAAAGGTAAACAACAAGAGAGACAACCTAAACACAGCCTCATCGTTCGAGACAGACCATCCTGCGACACACAGCAAGCAGCCAATGAGCCAATGAGTCCCATTTCAGGAGAAACCTTAACGATGTGCTTTCCCGTAATGATAATCCCTTTGGAAAACAATTTCCTGTTGGAAAGTGGCTGGAAATACACACCACCCTCATGAAATGTATTTTATTTTCCCTGTGATTGCCTAATTGGATCGCACAACTCTGAGGGATTTCCGCAATCTATGTTGATTCAGAGTTCATGTGATACTTAAGAGGGTATGTGGTCTGGTGATTTTTCTAACTGTCAATTAATCCCAAGCGAATACCAGAACCACCAACTATTGATGTCCAAAAACTATTAAAAGCACATTAAGAGTGCCACAACGTTGCACTGGGTTAGCCCCAAAAGTTTGCTACAAACTTTAGTGCCTGGCTGTTTAAGGGAATTACTTTTTGAAAATGGAATGACCATTTCTCACTTGTTGTTGTGGAAGATTTATAACTAATAATACTTTAGTTTGAATCAGAGACACATTTAGGCTGGGGAAGGGAGACTGTCCAACTGTTGCTTTTCATTTATGAAAAATATGAAATACTTCTAGCGAGAGATAGAAAACTGAATTCACACCATGGCACTGCATAAGAAACTTTAGATATGCCTCAAGTCATCATTGAATATTCTATGTCAAAAAACTAAAAGGTAAATATATGGTATAAAGAAAATTGCAATAATACATTTTAAATATACTCTACTGCTTTAAAAAGGACAAGAGACCTTCAGGAAGGATCTTGGTGCACTCGGTTGAGCAATAAATGTTAGTCAACATATTCACAGGAACAGATGTAATCTAACCTAATCCACAACGATGAATCACAGCCAGACTGGAAGTTTTTCCACCTGACACATATCCTACAGAACAACTTCAGTCCTGCAGGTTTTGATAACATCTTCTAACAATGTCGCTCCACAATTTGAGTCAACACTCAATGAAAAACAATTAAAACGTGACTCAAACTTGTATAACATCCGCTCTATCTGTCCCGACGACCTTTTGAGTAACAAGAATGATGTCTCTGCAATGTTTTGGTTCCTCGATGAGTGTTTTGCGGTCTGGGTGGAAAGAAAGAGCAGCACAATAATGGCGGGTAGTGATGTCGGCAACGGAGAATCTCATTAGGCTCGTACTACAGCAGCTGCTACCGCTCAACGAGAGCGACTGACATCTGGGTAAAGTTAGTGCAACCACATGGCTGATGTTAGCATTATGTCGGCACAAATAGGGAGGGACAGGGCGAAGGGCTTACTGCAGCCCATCATCCCAACGTCCTGACTCTCGGGTCACTGCTTTTACAAGCCCTCAAACTCATCCCATCACCCCAGAGAAGAGAGAGAGTGTTAGAGAGAGGAGAAGAGTCTTTCAGGAAAAAGAAGAGGAAAGCAGAACAGAGCAGGTGGAGGCCGTCACTTACCGGCTTCCCCTCTTCTTCCCATCCGTCCACGCTTTCCTGGAGGCCCTGTGAAAACACACAGACAGAGCTGTAAATCCCGCAAATCAGCATTGCAGGGATGAGTAGAGAACAGCGGAGCATCACTTGCTGTTTCACTGCTGGTGGTCATGTGTTGCCTGGCGTTAGGTTTGTGTGGGCTGGCACAACACTAACATATCAGAGCTCTAGTGACGCAAGCACACATTCAGAGGCTAGAAACAAAAACTAAATGACAACCAAGAGTCGCGTCACACTCAAATGTAAAATGTTATGTTAAACTAAACAAACTGGACCTGGTACCGCCAGCTTTCCGGAAAAATGTATTCTTCTGTTTATGAAGAAATCTGGTAAAGTCGTAATAAATAGCAGGAGAAGGCTGTAGGGGATACAGGAGATATTGTGTCCAGCAGGAGTGGTGACCTAAGTCTCAGACCTCATGCTGCCTAAAGACCATAAACCACACACTGCCGCTGAACCCCATGACAGTTCACGTGGGATTTTAAGAGAAGTATTGTATCAACATATGGTGTAATAGACAATACAAAAAAAACACAGATTTCTGCTCAGGCTCAACTGCTTCCCCAAGGAAGGCCAAGCTTCGAGTTTTTTACATCCCTTATAATCTTATGACTATCCACCACCTGTTGCTGGTCCAGGTACGTTTTTCTACATCGGAAAAGATTCATGTATGAACGAAAAAACTCACACCTGGTAGTGGTACTTGAAGCTTTAACCTCAGTGTTTTAGCATGATATAATTTATTACCCACATATTCAGGACTATTTCACACGGACGCCCATTCATTCATAACATGTAAGCCAGGGTTTTGAAACAACATGAAGCTAACGATAGCTCGCTAGTTGTTGGAGCTCTTACTACAGTCCTTCGCAGTAATTGGAAGCTTGCCTTTGTGTGAAATAAAAAAATAGTAAGTATTTAGGTAAATCTGCCGCCATTAGCTTTCTACTCAGCGTGAAACCTTCCTTTGAGTAACACCTTATTACTTCTCTTTACATTATATGTTCCTATCCTCCCACATACAATCCTGCTCTTGTATTGAAATAGGAACCATACTGTTCCTGATGCTAAGTGGTAGTGGCTGCAGACATGTTTTCCCTATTGTCATTATTGGGGTTGTTGTAGTGGCCTAATCATTTCCTGACTGTGCCAACCTTTTCAAAGAGACCTCAATCATGCTCCTCCACCTCCTTCTACCTCCCCCTCTTTCATCCTTCTTTCCCTCCTTTAAGCAATGGCAATACGCTATTTATTACTTTGGAATTGAAGGATTTATAAAATAGCATGAAATAGTGTTAAGTGCTGCCTCTGCTCAACTTGATCTGGACCATTTTAGAGTATACTATCAAACCAGATTTCACCTAAGTACTGTTTATTGGTCTTTATCTGAATCATTTTGCAATTTGCAACTGCCAGACTTTGCTGGCAACAAGAAGAAACAATTTTAAAATGTAACAATGGAGAATGAGTACAGCATGTGCACATACTGACTCATTTAAAATGTATGTTTCAACAGTTTTAATCATTTAACACCTCTACACCTTCAAACCTCAGACACAGACGCCAGCGAGCACACACACTCTGCCAGCCGCAGCATTTATATTACAGTAATAGTCTCCATATTCCATAGTGGGCTGTACTTCCTCTGATTCAGCCCCCGCAGCCATACAGCAGCGTGGAGCTGTTTTGCAGAGAGCATTTCCCCTGGCTGGAGGGGAGGGAGATGGGGAGGACAAGCTGGAATGGGGGAGAGAAGAATGTGTAAGGGAGTGGTGGGATGGGGAGAGACAGTTGGTATAGAGAAATCAAACAGGGCGGGCGGAGAAAGAGATATAGTCCAGCTAAAAATGATAAAAGGGTCCAGGCAGGAGGAATAATAGCGGTGCAACAAAAAAAGTCGGAATGAGGGGTGGATGACTTCACAATCCCTTAAAACATCCTTACAACATGGTCATTGGCCATTTAAAGTGCCTCCTCCCAAGCAGGGATATGCATTATAATAAATTGGTCACAGGGGGCCATGCCTGCTCTACCTTTATTTGATACATAAAAGGCTGACATCGGCATGTTGACAGTTCGGTCGGCAAGCGCTGGAGGAGTGCGGCGTCAGAGTGACTGAAACGTACAGTAGGGTTGTGATTAGTCCTGAGTGGCTGGGTTCAGGGGGAATGGAGGTTGGTGATGACAAGCTGATGTAGGACTGGATTGACTGAGGAAATAATGTAAAAAAACAGCAGCGCTGGAGAGCAGAGCGTATGTAAAAAGTGGAGAGAAGTGGTTCCGATTCCTATTTCAGGAGAGGGCAGTGAACGCATACCCGTCCCGCTGCGATACAAACAAACGCATAAACACGCAGACACTTGATGTGACTTAGGTGTCAGTCTTGACTTCCTGTGACGCGGTGGCATACCAGGGGCAGGAAAGGTCACACACGCACACTAAAATAGAAGTGTGTACCTTCAAGAGTAAGAGATACAGTTTAACTTGACACAGTAATGGGCTGTATCATAACTTCCTCTCCCTTTTGTTTGACTAGAGGTCAAAAGTTATCAACATCGAAAGTAGGTTACAAAGACATAACAAAGCTAAAGGTTTCTCGGTGATTGGTGGGTTGACACAACGTAAAGCACATACTGTAGGAGGATGTCAAAGGAGCAGACTGAGGGGATGAGGACAGTAAAACAGATGTAAAAGAAAAAAGAAGACGCTGTGCGAAGATGGGAGGACAAGTGCTGAGCAACGAGGTCGTCCTTCACTCTTACAGGTGTTGAAAATCGCCTAGAAAGAAAGATGGGCCTCAAAAAATGTCCAACAGCTAGGAAAGAAAACTACATCCTGAGCATAAATCTCTCTAAGAGACACAGAAGCAACGCTGGATGCATGCACGCTCACTCAGCAAAATGAAAATAAGCAAGTGAAAAGCCTCTTGGATACCAAATGATAGAGTGGCGCAAGTTTAATTCCAACATTGGGGGACACATTAAACAAATTGTGAGGGGTTTTGTTTGTCAGTCATTCAGGTTTTTATATTTGGAGCAGCCTTAGCCGTGTTTGCTGCAGTCCAGCCCCAGAACCTGCTCTATCTGCCGATGCTGCGCCTCAACATTGCCCCCTTTTCCCTTTTTTATAGCAGTTTTGCCAGTTTTTGAGGTCGCATACTGCCCCCTTCTTTACCAAAGTTGCTGCAGCTGTAGGGATGACTCCAAATACAATTCTTCTTGTTTTATTTGAGAGGACACATACACAAGTTCTAAATATTGAGGAAGATAACTCTAAACTTCTAAACATCTCTGTACGTGGGAAAACATGCGGTCAGCTAGCAGTCCCCTTAGGACTGTAAGTGTGTTTATGTGTGTGTGAGAATGTCAAATACCTTACACTGAGAGAAACATCTGGATCTCTGCCTGGATTCTTCTATTAGTCTTAACATGGGACACTTTTAGGCAGATACAGGAGAATGACACAACATCACAGTCCTGTGTATAAGCTCACTCATAGTAAAGAAACATGCACACACACACACACACACACACATTCCCACACAGACTCATGTGCATACACTGAGGCATGTTCAACCTACATTCTGACAAGTGCAACCAACCTCAGAGCAATTTATCCATCAACACTTTCACTGGTTGCATCTGTGTGCTAAAAATCACACGTATGTAACCTACATATTTCACAGTTTCGTCTTCTCTCAAATCATTAGGAGCAACAATTTATTTGGTGAATGTTTTACCAAGTGCATATCAATATACCCCCAGCATCTAGATCCCCTTTGGCTCACATAAAGAAAGACACGTATAAACATCCTTTAATCCTCCAGATGCTCTGTCTGTTTCTGGTAGACTTGATTTAGCTACTGTGACATTTCTCGCAAACAAAGTGCTGCCAGGGAATAAAGCAAAGGATTGGTGGAGCGACCTCCACCTCCTCTCTCTTCTTTTAGGCCCCATTTTGTTCAACCCAACAACTGGGAGCAATAAAGAGCCAAATGAAAATAGCAGAATGTGAAGCGCTGTATGGACGACTACAGCACTGACATCCATCCATCCTTTCATCCATCCTTCCATCCATCTACCACACATCCTCTCCACTCTACTCCTCTCCTCTCTGTTATCTGCCATTAATGCCAGAATAAGGCGGGGATGTGGAAAAGTGTAAGAAGTGAAGGCCGGCATCTATTCTCTCATTTCTCCTTCAATTAGAATAACAAAATCTTGAAAGGAGGTATCTGTATGTACATCTACACACGTAAATATAAAAGAGCAAACTAGGAATTTGCTTTATATCGATATTTCATAGCGTCCGCTGAAGGGAAAAGATCATGCCAAGTTTTGACAAATGAATGCATTTTAATATATCATTTCAGAGTTGCTTTCAGACATAATCTCAAATGTTGACATTAGTAATTGATAATGAACTAACATTGTCTGTTTACAAGTTGTTGTTTAACTTTTTTGTCGGAGACTGAATCTCTAGGTCTCCCTTGAAAAAGAGATCGTTTGATCTCAATGGGATTTTACCTGGTTAAATAAAGGCTACAAACAAATGTGTTAATAATGAGACCTCTAGTCAACTGCTACCATTGAAACTGTTGACTGGTCTGAGGTACGATGGAGTATTCCTGTCTTTTGGTTCCCAAATGGTCGCAGCTGTTCAGGCTTCTTGTCTGAAACAAAACGACATCCTCCAAACCGTCTCCTGATCTGTCAACACTTCCCTGTGTTTTTCCAACTTTCACTCCAATAGAAGGGGGACACATGCTGTGAATGTAAACAGCAACAGAAAGAGAAAAAGACAACGGATGTGATTCACATGTCTGTGATTCATTCTCCAGCTGCCCGGGTCAGCCCGGGTTCAGTGGCTCAGACAGGGTTCATACCCATGCGTTCTCACAGTGGGGGGAATCAGATAACCAGAATCAAACAGGAAAGAACATTACCTGTAATCCAACCTCATCCCATCAAATCTTCAAGTGTTGGCAATGAAGATTTAATAAAGATCTA